GGGCTTGATTGTACCGGCCTCACTATACTATATTTTAATATAAAAAAAAAACTAGTTACTGGACATAACTGTAATAGTTATACATACGTTAACTTAGACTATTTTGTAGATATTGATGTCTCCTATAAAACTGTAGTACATCAGTTTGTTCTATTATCAATAATTTCAGCAGCGTACGCGACATAACGATTTTTTTTGGTATTTTTAATAGCTACATTATCGAACTTTTCATATGGATTTCCCACGTTTTTGGATAACATAGGATTCTAATGGAAAGTGAATTTTTCCAATTGGTTCAGTAGTTACAGAGCTTATTCAATACAAACAAACCAATAAAAACTCTCCTTTATATACTACTAGTATAAACATAACAATAAATTACTTACAAAATTATTTACCATAAAATTATTCGTGTAAAATCCCGATTACCAATATTATTAATTAAGTAAGTAACTTAATGTTTTCAATTCAGTATGGAGCGTGCAACATGTACGTTTGTTTGTATATTTAATATACATTTTATTCATTATGAAGAAAGTTAAAATCAACAATTAAAGATAAAGAGGAACTTTATAACGATTATTCGTGTAAAGTCCCGATTACCAATATGTATAAATTCCTTTTTTCAATTTAGTATTTAGCGTGCAAGATGTAAGTTATGTTTGTACATTTAATTTATACTTTTTTACTTAATATGAAGAAAGTTAAACTCTTGTTGAGTTAAAGAGGAATCATATATAAATGTATACATATTTTATATGTATAAATGGATTTAAGTGGACCAGGAATTATTGAAGAATTTTTCGTGTAAAGTCCCGATTACCAATATATATAAATTTTACTTTTTCAATTTAGTATTAAGCGTGCAAGATGTATGTTTGTTTGTATATTAATATATATATATTATTTTAAAGAGAAACAATTATATAAGGGATATAAAATGGATGTAACTGCAGTTTATTTAAGCGAATCTGGTTCGGACACGATACGCATGTGACTTCAACGGCCTTAGGAGACATGTGTATATTACACTATAACATAAACCATGCAATTCACACGTTACACTATATTATTTTAAGCGGCGTGTTAAGTTTTATACCTTTTGTACGTCATAATTGTTGATCGAGGATAAATGAAATAAATATTTATTTGGAATGTTCTGGAAATATTTAATTTAATTATTACTATACTATAATATATATATTATTTTAATCTTATCGACTATGTTAGTTATATTTTTAATATATATATAGTTAGTATGAAACATCTAGCATTATATATTTTACGGGGTAAGCAGAGATACACGGAAATATAAATATTTTTCTTTATATATCTATATATATATATATATATCTTCATGCTAGTTCCTTTAAGGCTTAACCCGTAGTCTATACGTATCGAGTTTTTTTTTAATTAACTCCGCCCCCTTCCCTCTACTCATAAACGTCAAATAAAACTTGTTAATCGTTAATTACTAAATGAATGTATTTATTTTCTACAAATTTGACTATCAAATTAATAATTTAGTACAGAGTAACATTTTTCAGGTGGGGAGGGGGGGGGACATGTCGCATTTCTAGAACATTCCAAATTCCTAAGGCCGTGTGTCATATCTGCGGGGCGCGTCCGAGGCAGGCCGCCGCTCCTAACGCCGATCTCATGCCGTCCACACCGCCGGGATCGAACCCCAATACTTTACCACTGCAACACCAAACTTCGTGAACCAGTGGGCACACGGCACACTGCGCCAACCTTGCTCTATGGTTCTAAATCACTTTTTTTTTAACAGATCCTCATTTTTAGATCTGTTATACATAAACACACCACTCCCGCTCGTATTTAAAACGTAAAAAAACACATTTTTTTAAAAACGTATAAAAAAAACTCCGTATCGAATCCATAGACAAATCTAACGGTAACCAACTACGCTAGACCATAGAACGTGTAATGATGAAATGGCGTGGGGTCAAATCGGCCCCCCGCAGATCATGACAATCGGCAGTTTTGTAAAATAGTTTCATTAAAAATACTTCAGCGTTCGATGAGACAACTAAAAACCTTCGGAATTCGTTGTCAGCATCAAAAATCCGTCAAACAGTCATTAAATACAATAAAACAAGCATGCATATATATCTTATAACAAAAATAATAACATACCATCACGCCTGCCATCCCAGAGTAGGGTAGTCAGAGTCATTGTCAACTGTCCATGTTGTGAACGCAACACTAGACATGTCCACATTTCGCTCGGTATATATTTAAATAAAAATAAACACCTTACTCAATAGAATGGCTGTAGGCTGTAGCCTACTTGCGAGTCATGTTCTCCTGGTACTTTCACTGCAGTATCGGTAATAGTAAGATAACTTCACGACTGTTATCTTTGATGGGGTAGTCAGAGAATCAACTGTTGATGTTGTGAACGCAACACTAGACATGTCCACATTTCGCTCGGTATATATGAATAAAGAAAGCACAGTACTCCAATAGGCGGTGGTAGGCTGTAACCTACTTGCGAGTCATGTTCTCCTGGTACTTTCACTGCAGTATCGCCAATAGTAAGATAATAAGAATAATAATAATAATAAGATAAGAACAGAATAGAAGACCCTATCTTCTAGTCAGAGAATCAGCTGTCCATTTCGTTGTGAACCCAACACTTGACATGTCCAAATTTCGCTCGGTATATTTAAATAAAAATAAACACCTTACTCAATAGAATAGCTGTAGGCTGTAGCCTACTTGCGAGTCATGTTCTCCTGGTACTTTCACTGCAATATTGGTAATAGTAATATAACTTCACGACTATTATCTTACTAATATTATGAACGTGAATGTATGTGAGTAAGGATAGCTATTTGTTACTCTTTCACGGAAAAACTGCTTAACTCATTTTTTTGAAACTCTACAGTAGCTTATATATATAGCTTATACATCAGAATCACACATAGCCTATGTGATTTAAAAAGATATTATGTAAATTGGGCGAAATATAATAACATTCCTGACATCTTAGTACTCAGGAATGGCTACACATGAGTGGTATCACGGGTGTTATGATAACGTGATGTCCGTAGTGCTGTTCATGTATATAGGCGACAGTTACCATCAGGCGGGACGTCTACCAATCCAAGTAGTAAATAATACGGAACGGATGTAGTCAGCCGATTTATATTTCGCTTAAATACTATATTGCCAGCTGTTGCATTTACAAAAACGATGAATGACAAAATCTTATATGACATGAAAATGATTATATGACAAAATCTAAATTCGAGCTTATGACCTTTTTGCTGTAATTTCGAGTAGTGAACCACTTTTAATTATAATTAAGGTTTTAAAAGAGGTTTCTTAACTTAGAGTCAGCAACACGCACGTGTCACCGCTGGTGTTTGAGGCGACTATAGGCTAGGGTAACGTTTACCACCAGATGGGTCATATACTTGTCTGCCGACGTCGTGGTTTAAAAAAAAACCTACTTCAAAACCCTCACAAAATCATTACTTAAAGAAACATAGTTTTTGACTGCAAATATAAATAATTTGATTGTAGTCCACTCAAATAATTATATGAGCAACATATTTATATCTTCACGCTAGATCCCTTACGGGATAAACAGATACAACTCTATACTATACCTGACTTCGATTATCTCATGGTTTAGCACACCGCCTGATTTCCGATGGCCGCAGGTTCGATTCTTCGCAAGATACAATAATTGTATTCATGAATATGATTGTTTGTATCGGTCTTAATATTTTCAATGTATACTATGTATGTATTTACAAAAACAAATGTACCTATGTACTTGTGTCAGTTGTCTAGTACCTATAACACAAGCTTTGCTTAGCTTGGGACTAGATGGCGCTGTGTGAATTGTCCAAGGGTATTAATTAATTAAGGGAATATCCGGTAAGACAAGTCACATTTTTGACCGGGTCAAAATTTAAAGTCAATGTATAATATATTATAATGAATACAATTTTCAGGGGAGCAATCCAACTGCAGCAGCGCTCTCCTGCCCCTCACCCCTTCTCATTTCTTTCGGGAAGACAAGTCATATTTTTGACCGGGTCAAAATTTTAAAATCAATGCACAATATATTATAACGAACACAATTTTAAGGGGAGCAAGCCATTGCAGCAGCCCCACCTGGCCCTCCCCTAATAGGGGGTGACCCCGATTACGCCAATCAGCATAACAAAAAAACACACAAGTATATACTACTCAACCTAGTTAAAAAAAATCAGTATAAAATTGTATATAAATTTTTAAAATAACATAAAAAATATTATTCGAAATTAATCATTCAGAAATAATGCATATTTATAGTATATAACAGAAATCGACCGTGTCCGAAGCAGATATACTTTTAAAAAAACAATTGTTAACATAGACAAGAATTCGCTTATGCAAAGTAACATACAATGCAATATACTACTATATAGTAATATTTAGGAACTATTTAGATAAAAAAAAAATGCAATAGCATATGCTGGTGGTCACAATATTCTACCTAATTGAATTTATCTACTGCATTTCTATGACCATGTACAAGCTCATTTGAAAATAACAAGAGCTGAGTTTCTTATCAGTTCTTAGCTTGAAAGCAATACAAACTGACTGTAGATTTCACATATCATATATCTGTATAAACCTATATGAAAAAAAGTATAATATATTGATTGACTAAAAATCTTTTTATATAGTGTAACATTTATGAGAAATTACTTCTTTGCCCGACTATACAATACTAACTAACACTAAACAAATTACCATTTCTGACCACTAAGTCCATCTATACCTTGTAATTCCACTGCCATCTGGTCATTCTGCTGACGCATATCTTAAAAGCAAACAGATTATTCAAGCAGCTTAATAAAGCGGCTGTAAGAGCTGTGACAGACGCACCCACGCAGACATCTCTGCATATACTAACAACACGGACGGTAGTACAATAGAATCACACGATGGGATCTCGATACTATATAGCCACTTACCTCCTTCTCTTTCTTCTTGTCCTTCTTAGAATCTCTCTCTTTCTCCTTCTCCTTGTCCTTATCTTTGTCCTTCTCCTTCTCCTTATCCTTGTCCCTGTCCTTTTCTTTCTTATCCTTCTTGCTGCTGCTGGTGCGTTCACGCTCTGGAATTTTTATGTTCGTAAAATGAGTTTTACATTATTTTGATATATCCATTCCTGTCAAAAGGCAACTGTTAGTAATGTTGACTGTTGACGCCTGCTGGCGATGTACCATGTCAGGTTGACCTCCACGTAGTTCTGGTAATCGTTATGATAAATTCGTGGTGAATTTGTCTCGATGTGCTAACTGATCTGAGCTCATATCGTTAGCACAAGCGGGAGCACCATATCATGATGATGCATTGAAAAATATATCCATTACCAACATTGTAACATATTCAAACTGATTGTCTGCCATTGGTACCACCATGCGGCTTCATCGTGGTAAAAAAGAGGCGCACAAAAAGGGTCTATTGGAACCATTGTGGCACTGCACCTATAATGCCAAACTTCCTGCTGCGTGCTGTTACACCGAACAAGGACCAGGACATTGTCGACTATATAGGGATCAGGAGTAACGCGACATTGAGGGTGATGCAGCTGGAGTGGAATCACAATGCGAGTTGAAGTTTGAACCAACATGCTGCCAACCTTCATGAAGGAGGACTACTGGGCAAAGGGGGTGCGGTATCGACGCTACAGTGGCGGATTGCCGTCGTCAATGTCGTGACCATAGAGATAATTTTATATTAGTACTTTAATATTAATTCATATTAAAATCTATAAGGTATTTATAACATAACTCATTAATAGGCTGGAATAAATAAATTATGTACGTTAAGCGATTAAAAAACGCACAATTTACGATTGGTGCAGTACTCCACGCTTACCTTTCTCTTTCCCCTCCTTCTCCTTCTTCCTCTCGTCTTTCATCAGCTTGCAGTACTCTCTAAAGTAGTCCTCTTTCAGCGTGCTGCTCTCTACGGCCTTGTATCGCGGGTCCGAGTCAACCTTCTTCTTCGCGTCCGCCCACCGAGCGTGGCGGTCTACAGACTTCTCCTTCAGGAGCGCGATGAATTCTGACTTCACCTGGGGAGAGAGATGACGTCATTTCCGGCAAGTGGCTGGCGCGGGGGCGGCCGGGTCTTGTCGACGGCTACTGAGGGTTTTTTTCTTGTAATAAATTATTTATTCTTTATTGCACTATTTTAAATAAATTTACAACTGGCGAGCGTAATGCCATATGGCATTCTCTACTAGCTGACCATTGGGTAAAAACAGAAAGCAGTTGATGGGCAGTAATGGGAAAGGCATTCTGTAGTATTTAACTAACTTATGTAATATGTCAATAATAATATGCTTCTAATTATATTGAAATAATATTCTGACGATAACTGACTGTTATTGTGTTGGGATTTCACGTTAAAAATAACATACGTAAAAGATGATATGATGAGAAAGAGAATAAATAACGGGATGACTGCGAATAGAGATGAATGGAAGAGAAAAACATATTACTCCGATCCCAAATAAATGGGATAAGAAGCAGATGATGATGATGATATAATAACATACGCTATGATTTGTCAAATCTACTCTAGACTATGATCTGTAATAGTTATTAACATCTGGCAATTCTATTGTACACTCCCGAGGTACAGGATCATTAAAAGTGGAGTGTAATGGTATAATCAACTTAAATATATTTGTAAATTACAAAATAAATTAACATTTTTTTTATTACAATTTATATGATACAATAATTTATATAAGTGCTGTGCCTTTCTGCATTGTGCATTGCTGTGATTTTTAATTCTCCATTTTTTAAATTAATATACCTATTAACAATATAATAGAATATACTATATTGCATCATGTTTTATATATACTAATATCATAAAGTAAAAAGATTTAATTGTTTGTTTGATCGCATTAAATTGACACCGTAACTACAGAAACAAGGGATAGATTTGAAAAATTCTTTAACCATTAGAATCATAGATTATCTCTAGCGTTGCCAGACGTCCCGTATATCCCGGGACGTCCCGTATTTTAGACTTAGTTTAAAATGTCCCGGCGGGACTGACTCTGTCCCGTATTCGAATCGTGATCTATTACAAATCAATCGATCTACGTTAGGATCTGAGTAAAATAAAGGTACGCCAAAATAACATGGAACGAAGCATTCTAAACATCAAACTTAGAGACAAAATCAAACTCACTAATATAAGAGAAAAAACCAAACTGACAGATGCAGTCAAAACCATTAAGAAACTTAAATGGAAGTGGACAGGACATGCAATAAGAAGTAAGTAAGAGAAATGGACTAAGCATGTTATAGATTGGTATCCAAAGAACAAAAAAGAGAACGAGGACGACAGAAAAAGAGGTGGGAGGATGATATAAGGGCAGCGGCGGACCAACATGGAGAAGGAAGGTAACAGAGGAGCTTTATAGGTTGATCAATCTGGCGCATCTAATTATCTTAAACGAATATAGACGATAGAATATTATTGTCGATGGTAACCTTTTTTATGTTTTTTATATATATTTGAATTTTATATTTTGACGTTCTGTTTTTATATACCGTATGTTTTCTTATGCCATAATCATTGTCTTTACATTTTTCATAGCGAGCTGATTACACATATTTTACCAGACCTAGGAATGTGTCTCATTTTAAACCAGCCTTAATACAGTCCACTAACAAATATATTAAAAAAATAGGATCTAGGCAGATCCTTAGATCCTATTTTTATATATGAAAACTTCGATAATGTAAAAAATACCAGAACGAAAACAAAGCGTACCCGATATATGAGAGATATCGTGTCCGCTGCTGAAATTATAGACAATAGAGCAAACTGATGTACTACAGTTTTATAGGGAACATCAATATCTACAAAATAGTCCAAGATAACGTATGTCTAACTATTACAGTTATGTTCTAGTAACTAGTTTTTTTTATGTATCTTATTACAATATAGAATAGTAATGCCGGTACAAACCAGGGCTCATTATACATATTTTAATAAGCTTTATATATATTTTTACAAACAATACTACAGACATGTAGAAATCTCACTTGAAAAGAGTAAGATCAGATAAGGCAAGTAATTCTTTATCACTAACTTCCGTACCAATGTTACTTTTGATTTGATTTGATAACAAGTGCCAATTTGTTTTGATTAAAAAACAAGTCAAAAACCTGACAGTAGCCGCCGACAGACACCTCAACGTTCCTAGCAACTAATAAAATCATTTCGCGCCTTAAAGAAAACACATTAGTAGCTGAAAATGAGAGTGTGGTATATTATGCTGTGGAAAGAAATGGTCATTAATTCCTGAAAGAAAAATTAGGATTAGTGACGACCGCGCGGAAGTAAAGGTATTCTATCAAATTTACGTGTCTTACAAACTAGCTGTGCACGCGACATCGTCCGCGTGGACTTTAACAAACAAAATTAATTAGGGAACTTTTCTAAAATAATAGTAGCCCAAGTTACTCGTTATTACATTAGCTACCTGCCGATAAAAGTCCCGTCAATCGGTCTAAAATAAAAGTACCCTAAGTTACTCATTACACCAGCTACCTGCCAATAAAAGTCTCGTCAAGATCGGTCCAGCCATTTTAGATTAGCCGGAACAAACAGACAGACAGACAAAAATTGTAAAAAAAATCTATTGTGGTGTATGTACCGCATTTAAATTCATGTGCATGTAGTAAAAACGGTTATTTCAATATTACAAACAGACACTCACAACACAATTTTATTTACATGTACAGATGTATAGATAAGAATTATATTGAAAGGTAATTCAATGAGATATTTGACATAGCCCGTCCTTGGTACAAAGAACCAGGTTAGCTAGTAACATGGGGACTAGTAACGATAGTAATAATAATAACTGCAACTCAGGATTTCTGGACTGTCCAGTCCCAAGCTAAGCAGAGCTCGTGTTACGGGTACTAGGCAACTGATATACATAAATAAATACGCTTTTTGTAAACATATGCATAATATACTAATAAACATATGCATAATATTCTATGTATAATATGTATGTATTTACAAAAAAAAGAAATATCTATGTATATGTATCAGTTATCTAGTACCCATAACACAAGCTTTAGCTAGCTTAACTTGGGTCTAGATGGCGCTGTGTGAATTGTCCTGAGATTATTACTATTATTATATACATAGGAAACCAAGAGCAATATAAACGCTCATTTTCATGAATACAAATATTGATGTGTGAGGAATCGAACCTGCGACCATCGGGAGTAAGTCACTGTCTAAACCGCTTACCGTTTAATAAGAGTGCAATTTTCCCCTTTTTTATTAATTCAATGCGTTTGGTAGACTTTACAGCTTCACTGTACGACAATGTGGGCGAATGCAGATGGCACTCCAAACCCGTGTAGGACTTACGGAGCGGCTGTAGGCCAACTCCCGCCTGACGTCGAGCTAGGGGTTTGAATCTCGGCTCAGGCCATCGCAATTCCAATTCCCGTTTTACGGGGACAGTGTAATTGGGTTCATTGTACCCGACAGCGAGATTGCGCTGGACTGTGTAGTTGGGGTTGTTGTCCCCGCCAGCGAGGATCGTGTCGTGTGTTGGCGTCATAAAGAGGCAGGGACGGATCGGGAAGACCCATAAGTTTTGCTTATCGATCAAGACTTCTTAAAATATTTACTTGAATTTCGAAACAGTTATCCACAACCGATAAATATTGCATACACGTTCATTATTTATTTAACATATTTTATGCATAACAAAAAAATATATATCCTCATACTCATATCCTCCGCTCCTTCTCTATATAAACTACTAGCTGTGCCCGCGACTTCGTTCGCAAGGAATAGAGGACGAATTAGGTATTTCCATTTCATCCTCTGTTTTATTTTACCCCCATGAGGGTAAAATTCGTACAAACTTTGAACGTCATATTGATAGTCAAAAGCTTAAAAAAATAGTTTCAAACTTCTAGCTTTAAAAATCACAATTACTTCCCTTTCAACCCTTTCTGCGCATTAAAAAGTAGCCTATGTCCTTTCTCAGGGTCTAGACAATCTGTATATCATATTTTATTTATCGGTGCAGTAGTTTTAGCGTGAAAGCGAGACCGACAGAGACTTAGACAAGTGTGCGAAATTTCATACTCCTCCTTCCGAGATTTTCCTGAAAAGGGGTACAAAGTTTTTGTCTTGCTGTTTATCACGTATTAACATAGATACCTTTACTTTCGTTGGTCGTATACCCTACATTTGTCTCTGATTCGTTGAAAGGAGAACCAATATTACAAGACATACCGTCTAATAATTAATATATTAAATTACACCGACGTACATGTAAAAGAATAATAATTAAATATTATTTATTATAAAATACAAGCTCATGGCACTCTGGATCTTTATGCTTACACTCTGATATATATGGTGAAAGAAAAGAAAAAAAAAGAAAGATTGAAAAGATATTACTCTGAAAGTTTGTTAAACAAAAATGGTTTGCTTCTCTTCCTCATAAAGGAATTAAATTAAAAAAAATAACAATCCGACTTTGATACAACGGGATTTGAACCCGTAACACTCAGGCATATATAGCTTACTCGTTTAGAAATACAAATCATATATACATATGACACGTTATTTATATATAAGAAATATTATATATGTATATATCAATCTTTTGTCAGTGTTTATCGAAATTCTCTGAAACGGCTCGTGCGATTTTTATGAAATTTTTACTATACATTTGGTAGATCTGAGAAAATCGTTGCCTATGGGCCAACGATCTATTCTCACGTAATTTTTTATACTTCCAAGTAAAAAGGGTGATCTATCCAAAAATAATTTCAAGTCGTATTTCTAACGAAATTACAGGACATAATGTTTCAAGTAGTGATCTATTATTTATGAAATTACAAGTTAAAAGGATCACGGCTGCCACATGACAACATGATGTCTGTATTGCTGTTCATGTATATAGGCGATGGTCACCATTTACCATTAGGCGGGCCGATAGTATTTATGTAATTCCATCCATAAGCATTTGAATAGTCATATAAAATATATAATTAATTAAAAAGCCAAAACAAAGCTAAAATGCTCACTATTGTGATCCGAAGCTTCTAAATAAATAAAGAGAAAAAAGGTCATATAATATTTTTTATTCTACCACTCATCCGGAACGCAGACTCATCACAAGAAGACCGAACGAGAAACTTGTGTGTTGCTCATTTAAATAAATGTCATTCAACGTTATATATTTAAGATTTTATGTGATTACAAACAGCTAAATACTTCGACAAAAGTAAATAAATTAGTTACTTGAGTACCAATATAATTCAGTCACAATTACCAGACCAGTCCAATCCCTACACACAAGTTTTTTGCTCATCTTGTGATGAGACAGCTTTCCGAATGAGCGGTAGATTTAAAAAAAAAATGTGATGACTATTCAAAAGTGCTTCAATGTAAGTTTATTTGAATAAATGATTTTCTATTCTATTCCTACAAGCAGCGCCCTTTTTTCCGGACTACTCTAATGCTGTTGGCCGCAACTGGCCTTTACAGCTCCACCGGACGATAAGAGGCGAGTGCAGATGGCACTCCAAACCAAAGGAAGAACTTACTGAGCGGCTGAAAGCCAACTCCTGAAAAATCGTACGATTTCAGAAATTCGTTCACAGTTTTGAAGCATTACACCAGAGTTACATAAGCTATATATTATATTAATAAATTAATAAATGTAAATGTAATAACGAATTTAAAACCAATCGCCCGGGAGAAGTAGCGTAGCAATAGTCTGTAATATTGGTTGGATCCATGCTACAATCTTTGTCTTCATTATACAATAGTTATAAAACTTTATCAAACTTCTAACAATGTTCCCAATCCATTAAAATTACAATATTAATAAAATAAATTAATAACTTTTTAAATTTAATTTTTAATTTTTTCAATTTGATATAATAGATTAATAGACTTATCATAATTTTGTATTAGACCTACAAATTATATATTTATATCAATTTAAATAATATAAATTAACTTATAATCCTGTTTATTACTCATATTATATGAATAAAATTATTAAATTCACAAAGAATTTGTCATAATTTTTAATAAAACAAAAATCTTCAATAATTATTATATAATAATATATTATTATGTACAAAGCATTCAGTCTATATACAATATATCGGTTCAGCAGTCGTTCGAGTTAGAAGTAAACAACCATAGACAAAAATAATCTTTGTGAATTAAAAAAAAAAAACTCAAATAAAACCTGAAAAAGAAATGATTAGTCGCTCGGAAATCCTTTACTCTATACTTTATACAACTCTTTGTGTTCGCTTAAATTTAAATTTCGAACTCGAGCCCATCACCAAGTTCCGATTCTACTAAAATGGTAGTATTCCTCTACCTTGGCAACTTCCGCATGCAGTAAACAGGGTGTTACTTTATATAATAATAAGTTGTGGCCGTTTGCAAGTCGGCCATTTTGTTTTGTGATATTGTATTAATTATTTTAATTATAATTTTGATTTGCTTATAATTATATCTAACCTTAGATATTCGTGGCGTATAGGCGTGATCAGTTGACGATATAATGTTATATTTATATATTTATTTGTCACTTGAATATCAAATTCCCCATATTAGCTGGAAAAATAATACATTCGTAAAGGACAAGGCTTATTTCTTATAGAAATATATATATATTTATAATTAATAACGGGTTAGTAGGAAACTAGTTATTTGTTGATGGTAGTTTTCAATGTGTTGCCAGTATTCTAAAATAAAATATACCACAAACCTATTCATGTACTTTGCAATTTTTTATACCCTACAGTTTGCAATTAAGCGTACGGCCCATCTGATAGTTAAGGGTAACTTATGAAGGTCTCAAACACGAGGGGTGAAATGTATGTTGTCAACCCTTAAGAAACTTTCTCTACTTGATATCTCTAATCTCGCAAACTTTACATCTTTCTAATATTAAATATAAATAAATTATATTTCATCCCCATTTTTTTACCTAAAAATTAGTTTCAGAGCTTTAAATATACGAAGAAGTTGCAAGCTAATATTTAAAAACATCAATAGTACAAAAAAATTGTAATATATTTCTCTGACACATGGCAACACTGTCTAAATTTCTACCAACATTAAATAAGTCCTGTGTATTACACGATAAACAAATTTAAATTCGGAATCTTTTTCAAAACTTTCAAATGGGTGTAGGCGTGATATTTAAAATTGGAACGTTTCAGTAGCTTTTTAATTATAGTGCAAACTAATTTGACTTTTCAAATTCAAATTGGCCTATCCGTCAATTTTAAAATTAGAACGTTTTAGTAGCTTTATTAAAACTGGATCATTTCGGTAGCATTTCAATTGTAGTGCAAACCTAGTCTATGTCTGTTCCAATTTAAATAGGCGTAGGCGTCAACTTTAAAATTGAAACGTTATGGCAGCATTTTAACTGTAGTGTAAGCTTAATCTATGCCTTCTCCTGTTCAAATTGCCGTAGGCGTCACTTTAAAAAAGGGACATTATGGTAGCTTTTTTAAAATTGGAACGTTTTGGTAGCTTTTTAATTGTAGTGCAAGCTTAATCTATGTCTTCTCCTATTCAAATTGTCGTAGGTGTCATTTTAAAAAATGGAACGTTATGGTAGTTCTTTTTCAAAATTGGAACGTTTTGGTAGTTTTCTAATTATAATGCAAGCTTTCCTATTCAAATTGTCGTAGGCGAAACTTTAAAATTGTAACGTTATGGTAGCTTTTTAATTGTAATCTATGGGCGTACCATAGAGATCGTCAAGTGATCACCCCGTGCGCCTCCGCCGCTGCTGGCCGCCACCGCCGCGCCGCCCGTCGCCGCTCCGCTAGCCACAAACATCTAGTTGTTTTTCATATATCACAGGACACGGTGCCCCTTAACATTACTATAAACTTCTAGACAATACCAGCACAGGCAATAGCATTATCGACTTCAAAATAACTGGGGTCTTGTTTATTGCTTATCGTGGAATCGACAATATAATATTTTCAAGATGAATATTAAAAAAAAAATAAGGCACATTTCCGCCATTTCAAAAATGCAATTTAAGAAATTATTGATTCAAATTAAGACAGTTTGCATATTAATTTGTCTTTGGTGCATTCATTTAAAAAATTTTGTATACAACTTCAATTACTAATGTTGCCATATAAAAAATAAAATTATTACTAATTCAGAAAAAAAATATGAATGCAACAGAGAAAATAAATTACTCAAATATAACAATTAATATATAAACATTAAGATTGAAAATATGGTTTCATTTTATAAAAATCATTGCAGTTCGTAGACTCGACACAATTGTGCAACACAGGAGTCGAACCTGTACACGTCCGTCGACAGGGATCGAACCTGTGATAGAGAAACACATCACAAATGACACATGCAATCCTGTGAAAAAAAACATTAGGAAAAATCACAATATATAATTTTCTATATGAAATATAAATCAATTTCATTCAATATATATATAAAACACACATTTTGAATACAAAATTTTTTTAATTCTCCCACGTCTACGCATAGCTATCAAGCCATAAGGCAGACTGATGGTGAACGGATACTTTCAAGATCAGACGGCCGACTCCAATAGTACACCAAAAATGTCAGCCACTTATGACGTGTTCGTGTGTTCACTTGTGACGTGAGATCTCGAGTTATACCCTGTAAATTCACTGATTTGCTTATAAAGCAAGCTGCTGTCGTCAGAAATACGTTTTTGTTCTTTTGTTTAATTATAACATTTGATGATTTCTTCATATTATACAATAATTTAATTAAAAATCCCCCTTTTTAAAGTGGTATGGACATGCACACAAAGAACTGATAATCATAGCTTAAATATATATATATATATATATTCACGGCAGTTATCACAGATAGGGTAATACATTTCCCTATGTATATTTAAATCCAACGTGACTGGATTGAACCTAACACTGCCTGGATTAATTTTAGGTTTTTTATCATTTATTATCATCCAACCCAAATAATGGGATAAAGGCAAGGCAATGATGATGATTTCAGTATTTGCGTCAACCGAGAGCCCTTCAGATAAATATATATTGCGGCAAGATTCGAACTTACTACCTTTTCATATACGTCGGATATATATAAACCCAATGGGCAACTCCGATTTCAAACAAACATCGTTATTGAACTAAATTCCTAGTATTAAAGTTTATATATCATCTATTTCTACATTTGTGTGCACATCCATTCCACAAACGTCAGGGATGCCAACAATACGAGAATATATTAAAACTCATACATATTTCTACGATATTGACCTACAAAAAACTGTCAATACAGTATAATGTACGATACAATCAATCCAAATTGAGAATGTACGAGATTTGTATCAGATATTTTATTCAACCCTTCCAACGTTTTGACACAGATCCGTGCCCGCAAAACTGTGATTTCTTTTTAACCAATTTGATCCTTATTTAGGACAAAATAAGATCGAAACGCGTTTGAAAAAATACGACTGGCGCGCGCCACAGACATTCGAAAGGTTAAATATGGCAACCCTGTATAACACATACACCGCACCTCGCTCGCGTCGCCCCCCCGTGCGTCACCCAAGCGCTCTTACCTGCTCTCTCTTCTTCTCCTTGTCTTCCTTCTCCCTCTTCCTCACTTCCGCGAGGTACTCGTTGAAGTACGTCTCCCGATCGCGCTGTTTCTCTATACCTTTGAAGCGCTCGTCACGGCTGTGCTTCGACGTGAAGTCATTAAATGATGACCTGGTCACGAGACAACAATAATGACTAGCTGTACCCGCGACTTCGTGTGGAATTTAACTTAATTTTTCTAAAATAAAAGTATATTGTAGGTAGGTAGGTAGGTACCTGATGTAATAAGGAGTAACTTAGGCTAAGTTACTCCTTATTACATCAGGTACCTGCCAATAGAAGTCCCGTCAAAATCGGTAGCCATTTCAGAAATTAGCCGGAAGAAACAGACAAACAGAGACACAAAAATGGTAAAAAATGTTATTTTGATGTATGTACCATATTTATATTCATATATATATGCATGTGGTAAAAAACGGTTATTTCAACATTACAAACAGACACTCCAATTTTATTTACATGTATAAATGACAGTTTTAGTAGAAAAAAATCATAATTGATTGTCACATGTCTAATACCTTGTTAATGTGCATTTACTTAGTTTAACATGCAAGTTTCTAGCTAATTCTTATTGTGATGAGTTTCTGTTTCGAATGAGTGGTAGAATGAAAAATATATATATATATTTTAATTTCATTTTTTAGATTGAAAGACATATATAACTCAAAGGTGACTGACATAGTGATCTATCAACGCACAGCCCAAACCACTGGACGGACCGGGCTGAAATTTGGCATGCAAGTAGATATTATGACGTAGGCATCCGCTAAGAAAGGATTTTGATAGTCTAGCTCCAAGGGGATAAAATAGGGGATGAAAGTTTGTATGAAACTTTCTCAATTTTAAACCGATCGGGCTGAGACTTTGCATGCATAAAGCTACTATGACGTAGTCATCCCCTAAGAAAGCATTTTGATAAATTCCACCCCTAAGGGGATAAATAACGCGAGCGAAGCCGCGGGCAAAACCTAGTTGAAACATATTTTTAAACCATACCAAATCAACCTAGCAATTCGTCAATTTTATTGTATTTAAACGTTCTATTTAAATAGTTTTTAAATACAATTTCTAAAACAAACAAATCATCTCTACCGAGTATACTCACTTGGAATGCAACTTGGCCTCCTCCATGAGCTGCCGGAACGCCACCTTCTTCTGCTGCAGTCTGTTCTTCTTCTCTTTGCGCTCCTCCTCTGCCCGGTCGCGCACGTACTGGTCGAACACCTGTCATATTGCAACCACGTTAGATTTATCATTGATTCCTTTTTTTAATGTAGTGTCTTAAGTATTGACAATGCCCACGTGATACCCCTTTTGTTTTATTTCTATTCTTTACACTAAATTTTCTCAGCCCTTGCTGGTTTCTACGCTTTGTAGCGTATAGCACACTTAATAATATACGATGATATAAGATGAACATGAGGTCAGGTCAGTAAGCACATCGTGACAAATTCACCAAGAATTTATCACGATGGTTTCCAGGCGGAACCGCGTGGAGGTCAACCTGGCATGATACATTGCTAGCAATGGGGTAATGAACCCACATTACTAACAATTCCCTTCCCTCTCACTTTTTTCTTGTTTAGATATTATTAGGTCAGAGACAAGAATTAAAGGATATTCTTAAGAGCGATGGTTTTTATCTCCTCCAGATAGAGTGTATTTTCCAAAGGAGATATTACGTTTATGCATGAGTGGGCTACAACCACATAGGATGTGTAGTGGCGTTTCTTCTTCTGTTTGGCAAAAAACTGCAGATTTGTGCCAAACTGAGATATTTTAGGTGTCTGTGCTATGGTTAACATTTACCATCAGATGGGTCGTATGCTAAAATTAACCAGTACTGAAGAAATGGATTGAGTTTTCGTTTTCGAAGTTGGTTGAACTAGTCTAGTCTAGTGGTGATCGGAGCAAACAGTCAAATTGTGGACCTCTTTTTAATTGAAGTCGGTTGAAATATATACATAAAATTTCACAAGTATAATTATAATCTGTCTGTTAGGGAAACTACTCTGCTACCAAAATGTTAGGGAATTTACTCTCTGCTACCAAAATGTTAGGGAATTTACTATGTATATATATAGGTGGAAGCGTCTGTCACGTACCTGTATGGTTCTGCGGGCTTCTTGGGCTTCAGGGTCTCTTCTTCGCTAGCTTTCCAGTTTCACAGTAGGATTCACAGTAGGTTTAACACAGTTCTAATTTATTTTAATTCACAACACAATGCGCGCGCGCGTCAAGGCTGCTGTACGGTCAGTTCAGTACTAGGTAAGGGAGGGGAAGGAAAGACGCGGGAACACAAACTAACGGACTCTAATATAATAATCTGTGCTTACGATGTTACAGGGTAGATTTTGAACACTGTCAGTATTCGGTGTCGGCGAGTAGAGAGAGCCATACCTGGCGGCGCTCCTTGGAGTTGAGCATGAGGTATCTGGCGTCGAAGACGATCTTGTGCAGCTCCTTCTCCCAGGTGCTGAAGGCGGAGACGTCCTTCTCGTGCAGCATCTGCAGGAACGAGCGCACGCGCAGCTCGTGCGGCACCACCGCGCGCTCCCGCGCCGCGCGCACCTCCGCCTCCACCGCCGCCTCGCGCCCCAGGTCGATCTGCGGGGCCCCGGGCCCGGCCCCGCCGCCCCCGCCGCCCCCGGCAGACGCAGCCGCAGACTTCTTACCTGCGCACAAAGTACGACCCAATATATTTGACGACCTCGGTGGTCTGGCGGTCTAGCACACCGCTTTACGACCGATGGTCGCGGGTTCGATTCCTCGCACGGCACAAACATTTGTATTCATGAGTATGACTGTTTGTATACGTTTGGGTATTTTCTATGTATATAATGTATGTATTTACAAAAAAAAATATCTATGTATATGTATTCGTTATCTAGTACCCATAACACAACCTTTAGCTAGCCTAACTTGGATCTAGATGGCGCTGTGTGAATTGTCCTGAGATTATTATCATTATATATATAATATATCAATACAAACTATCCGGCTCAACAAATCACCTATATACGATATATATTATATTCTTGACAATGCGATGAGATACTTCAATATACAACTATCTATAATATATAAAGCTGCATTACGGTGACTCACTCACTGATTGACATAGTTGTTCTCCCAGAAGGAGCGTCCGGGGGTCGAGACGATGTATGGGGGAAATGTTCCTTTGGCTAGGGTGACCACGAGAAAATTCCGAAATTTGGGAAAATCCAAGATGGCGGACAAAGATGGCGGCTAACTTTTACAGTTTCGCTCGGATCGATTCCGTTCAAAGAGTGATTTGGCACGTCTCGGCGGGACCCAGAATATGGCGTAAAAACAAAAAATTAAAATCCAAGATGGCGGCGAAAAAATTGCCAAAAACTGGTTGAAAATTTTCTACGGTTTCAAAAACCGAAATTCCCAGGGTAGTTGCGGGGGTGCTGGCGACACCGGTTGTAGGGCATAGGAAACTCGAAGGACCCGACCTCTAGGGAAAATTATGAAATTTCGAAAATCCAAGATGGCCGACGAGTTGGGGGCGTGTGAATTTGGTCCTAAAAATCCGGATTATTTTCAAAATCATTTTTTAGGTACAGGGCAACCCCGCAGCGAGTCGGCTTCTATGGGGCGATGATGGGTCTCGGTAAGAAGTATTGCCAGCGCTAAAAAGAATTCCCGAATTTGGGGTAATTTGGGACAAATGGTCCAAAAAGTGGGAAAAATTTTTTTCGACATTTTTGACAAAAGAGGCATCAAGGCCTATCGAGAAACATCCCCTAAAGGGTTTTAGGTGGGTTTTGTTGGAATTTGCTGGCAACACCCATACAGGTTTGACCAAAATAGAAATTGGGGTGTCTCTCCAAAAACTGAAATTCCTAGGGTACTTGCGGGGATACTACCGATCCCTATTGTAGGGCAGTGGGAGGCTGAAAGACCCGGCCTCTAGGGAAAATTATGAAACTTCAGAAATCCAAGATGGCGGCCAAGCTATGGGAGATTTAGTTTTTGGAAAAATTTTGGAATATTTTCAATCGCGTTTTTGCTGCACATGGCAACCCCGTAGCTAAACGCCACCTACTGACATGGGTAAGTCTCAGTAAGAAGATTTGCCAGGGCTAAAAATTTTCCCCGATTTTGGGTTAAATTTGGAGAAAAGTCCCATAAAGTGGGAAAAATTTTTTTCGACATTTTAAATGAAAAAGTCTTGTTGGTCTACCAAAAATCGTCCCCTGAAGGGTTTTAGGGGAATTTTGTCAGAATTTGCTGGCAACACCCATACATCATGGGACAAATTTTGAAATTGAGGTCTAGCTTCAAAAACTGAAATTGATAGGGTACCTACGAGTGTGCTAGCTCAACGCACTGTGCGGCGTCGGATAGCCGAAGGATCCGGCCTCTAGGGAAAATTATGAAATTTTAGAAATCCAAGATGGCGGCAGAGATAGGGGAGTTTTGCGTTTCGGATAAAATTTGGGACATTTTTAAATGTTGTTTTAGGACACATGGCAACCCCGCAGCGAGTCGACTTCTATGGAGAGATGATGTCTCTTGACACAAAGTATTACCTGGTATGAAAATTTTCCCTGATTTTGGGGTATTTTTTGAGACAGGTCCTAAAAAGTGGGAAATTTTTTTTTCGACATTTCAAACAAAAGAATGATGAAAATCTGTCAAAAGTCATCCCCTTAAGGGTTTTTGGTGGTTTTTGTCAGAATTATCTGGCAACACCTCAGATCAGTTTTCTTAGGGAATAGTACAAGAAGAAGTCACCGAAGCTCTACATAATGTATGGACGAAATGTTTCTGCTACTAGGGTGAATACGTCAAAAGTATTAAGAAGTAAAAATCCAAAATGGCGGCAGAGATAGGGGAGTTTTGCTTTTCGGAGAAAATTTGGGATATTTTTAAATGTAGTTTTAGGACACTTGCCAACCCCACAGCCAGTCGACTTCTATGGAGAGATGATGTGTCTCAACACAAAGTATTACCTGGTATAAAAATTTTCCCCAATTTTAGGGTAATTTTTGAGATAAGTCCTAAAAAGTGGGACAATAATTTTTGGATATTTCAAACAAAAGAATGATGAAAATCTGTCAAAAACAATCCCCCTATTGATTTTAGGTGGTTTTTGTCAGAATTATCTGGCAACACCTCACATCAGTTTTCTTAGAGAATAGTACTAGGAGTCACCGAGGCTCTGTACAATGTATGAACGAAATGTTTCTGTTACTAGGGTGAATATGTCAAAAGTATTAAAAAGTAAAAGTCTAAGATGGCGGCCGAGTTGGGGTACTTAATTTATGTTGACATTTTTAGGGACTTTTAAAAATTCAATTTTGAGGTACCACTAAACCTTGTAGCGAGTTGACTTCTATAGAGCAATGGAAACTCTCGGTGGGAAATATTACCTGGTCTAAAAAAATTTCCCGATTTTGGGGTAATTTCGAAGAAAAGTAAAAAAACGTGGGAAATTTTTTTTTTCGTTAAGTTGAACAAAACAGTTATGAGCGTTGGTCCAAAATCATCCCCCAAAGGGTCCTAGGTGGTTTTTGTCAAAATCTCCTGGCAACACCATACATCGATTTTCATACTAAACCGTATTAAGGAACTCCTAGGTGTATGTAACCTGGGCTCTGTGTATATGTTAAAAGTATTTAAATAGGAAAAATCCAAGATGGCGGCCGAGTGAGGATACTTTATCTATGATGACAATTTTAAGTACTTTTTAAAATTCAGTTTTGTGGCACCTATCATCCCTGCAACGAATTAACTTGTACTGAGGAATGGAAACTCTCGGTGCGAAGTATTAACTAATTCTCATAGTAAACAGTACTAAGGAACTACTAGAAGGAGTCACCTTAGCTCTGTACAATGTATGGACAAAATGTTTCTGTCACCAAAGTGGATAAATTAAAAATATTCAAAAAGGAAAAATCCAAGATGACGGCCGAGTTTAAGTAATTTATCTCTGATGATAAATTTAGGAATATATTTTGGTGTACCTGGCTTCCCTGCAGCGAGTCGACCTTTATTGAGTCATGGTAGATTTCGGTTCGAAATATTATCTAGGCTACAAATATTCCCCGATTTTTGGGTAATTTTGCAAACCCATAATGTGGGAATTTTGACTAAGGACCGTGTTTCTGTACAATATATGGATGAAAACGGAAAAACGGTATGTAAATTTTCCCCGATTTTAGGGTAATTTAGAAGACAAGTCCAAAAAAGTGGGAATTTTTTTCGATATGTCAAACAAAATAATGATGGATATCTGTCAAAAATCATCCCCTTATGGGTTTTACGTGATTTTTATCAGAATTATTTGGTAACACCTTAGATTAGTTTTCTTAGGGAATAGTACAAGAAGAAGTCATCGAAGCTCTACATAATGTATGGACGAAATGTTTCTGTTACTAAATTCAGTTTTCAGGTACCCATCGTCACTGCAGCGAGTTGACTTTTATGGAACAGTGGAAACTCTCGATACGAAGCACTATCTGGTCTAAAAATTTTCCCTGATTTTAGGGTAATATCGGAGAGAAGTAAAAAAAAACGTGGGATTTTTTTTTCATCATTTTAGACCAAACAATGATGACGATCTGTCAAAAATAATCCCCAAGGGGTCTTAGGTGGTTTTTGTCAAAATGAGCTGGCAACACCATACATCGATTTCCATTGTAAACAGTACTTAGGAACTACTAGAAAGAGTTACCTTGGCTCTGTACAATGTATGGACGAAATGTTTCTCACCAAGGTGTATATATTAAAACTATTTAAAATGGAATCATTCAAGATGGCGGCCGAGTTAGGGTACTTTATTTCCGATGACAAGTTTAGGGACGTTTTAAAACTCATTTTTGGGGTACTATTTTATTCCTTACAGCAAGTTACTTCTATGGAGCAAAGACGTGAAGTATTATGTAGGCTACAATTTTTCCCCGATTTTTGGGTAATTTTGCAAACCTTAAATGCGGGAAATTATTTTTCGACATTTTTAAACATAAAAGTGACGGGGATCTATAATAAATCTCATCTTAATAGTTTTATGCAATTTTTTGTAAAATTAGGTGGCAACACCAAGCATAGATTTTCGTAGAAAGTAATATTTACTAAGGACCCACTAAAAGGACCGTGTCTCTGTACAATATATGGATGAAATATATCTGTCGTCATGTAATATATGTCAGAAGTATCAAAATGGAAAAATCTAAGATGGCCGCCGAGGTTGACTTTGAACAAAATTTGGAAGATATTTTATTTTGGTACATGGTTACCATGCAGCGAGTCCTCTTTTATGGGATGGCATTGAATCTCAGTATTGCCAGCGCTAAAAACTTTCCCCGATTTTAATATTTATGATATTTTAATTAAAAGAGTGTTGAGTGGTTATTATTTATCATAGGTCCTTTACCTACGATAAATAATAACTAAGGCTTTTATCAAAATTATTTGGAAAACTTTACTATGAAAACCGATGTAAGTTGTTACAACGGTTTTCATAGTAAACTATTAGAAGAAGTTGACAATGTATGGACGAAATGGTTTTGTCACCCGGGTAGCTAAACCAAAATAAAAAAAAATAAAAAGTCGAAATGGTATATAGAAAGGTAGGTTAGGTTAGGTTTTGTATTGCGATTCTTACAGTAGAAATTATGGCCTCAGAATAATATAGTAAACA